TATGGAAATTCAACAGGCTGTCGTGCATCATAAACGTGGCTAAAGAATTCAATTTTTACATAGGACGAAAGAACAGTTATTTAGCTTTTCAATGATACTCTTTTTAAATCGTAACGATGAGAAATGCCCACATACTCGTCAAATAAAAATTGCCGGTCGAAATCACATTCTTCCACCGTTGGGAATTGCATGGAAAACGAAACATAAACAATTCCCAACAGGGAATTAAAATTGAACGTTAAATTATCTAAAATAAGCTCAACTCGTCCATCTTTGTCTCAGTGAGACCATAAGAACGTCATTATTGCATTAAACATAGTTCAATTAACCCCTGAACAGAGAACATTCGTAATCAAAACGTTTTACGAAACAAGTACCTTACTACCTTGCAGTAGACTCGCGTTGCTTTTGGATTGATTAACTTTGCATAATTAATGTATTTTCAATTCCCAACGGGGCAACGGTGGAAGAATGTGATTTCGACCGACAATTTTTATTTGGCCGAGTATGTGGCCATTTCTCATCGTTACGGTTTAAGAAAGGTGTCATAGAAAAGCTAAATAACTGTTCTTTCGTCCTATATAAAAATTGAATTGTTTAGTTAAGTTTGTGATGCACAAAAGCCTGTATACCAAGCTGCACTGAGCCGTATTAAAGATAACGTGAAAATTAGGCCCTAATTTAGGCCTAATATAAATAGGGCCTGACACAATCATTTCATGTTGGATTATTTATTTTTATATTCTCATGAACATGTCCGCAGAGTGTGCATTTTGTATTTTATTTAACCGAACAGCAAACAAACACTCTTAGTCAGTGCTGTGCAAGGACTTAATAATGTCTGAATGCAAATAGTTTTGTTCTCTGCGATTCTCTTTCCGCAATTGGAATTAAAGTGCGTCAAGAAAATACGCTAAACTCGCTTGTTTCATCATCAAACGAGGGATCTAAACAAACGGCTTGAATGCCAAGCTTTCTCAAGGTCTCAACTTGCTGGACGCGGATATACTCTAAGTCTCTTTAATTAACGGTCGATAACAGGCTATAAACACAACAACAACGAAATTCTTTATTGTACCATGACGAAGGCGATGTAGCTCAGAAAACAACGCCGTTATGACCTGATAAATAAGACTTTTGCCGAAGCCAGTTGGCAGAACAGCAAAGACAGCAGCACAGTAGTAAAATGCGGTGCCCGCCTACAAGTAAAACTTCCGGCGTTTCCGCCTACATGATACGTGTACAAGTACAGTTTATATTTAGCACGCTACATAGCCTACATTCTCCTAGGTATCGAAAGGCTGTGAAGATTTTTAATCGCAGAGACCCAAATAAACATCCAATTCTGTCAAACTAATAAGCATTTGCTACTAACCATTGCTCCATAACGCCAAAAGAAGATGTCGTGACCAGCGAATCCGCGGTATAGTATGGGAATCCAAAAGGGCCAAAATTATGAACACGCACGCAATTAAGTCCTTATTATGCTTGTAAACACTACGAGCTTTCACACATGTAATACGAAACGCTCACAAAAGACATTCAAACCACGCGCAAATAAGCCGAACCTCTCACACACAAGTCCAGAGACACAAGTCCAGAGACACAAGTCGAAATGTCACACACAGAATACGAACCTCTCACACACAAGTCGAAATGTTGCACACAAAAAAGTCGAACTTTCTTCGTGTGAGGTTCGGCAAATTAGCATGTTAATTTATTTAGGACGAAAATATTTGCATACATTGTCATTTCCGAACTTTGTTTTACACGGCGGGGGATTAGAATGTTGCGATGTCGTTTGTTTTGGTTCACGTGTTTGGCTTAGCATGGAAGAGGTGTGACTCAGGCCTTAAAATATCTTTTCCAGGGCCGTCTGACAAAATGCCCGGTGACGTTGAGTTTGGGTCGGACATATGTCCGATGACCTTCAGTTCAGTTTTGACTCGGAAATAAGTCTGAATGACACAAATGCATAAACGGTAAATGTTGTAAAGATATCAAATAATTTGTTTCTTTCATACTTATTTCCAAGCCAAAATTAACTTGCTTGCCAGAACAACAGTATTAAAAAAGACTTCGACAACTTAAGCCCGTTTTCCACTTCACCAATTCGCTCGCCGCCCCGCGCTCGACTACGTTAAAACAACTTTTCCAGTTCACCTTTTATACAATAGACAATAGTACTCTGATTTTCCATTTAACATACAAGCCTCTAGTCCTGGTCTAGGGTACATTTTGATTTACGTCGGACAAAGCTACAGTTCGGCCGGACACCAATTCACTTGAGTCGGACAAACAATAAACCTCAGTTTCACTTTGGTCGGACAGAATGTCCGGTGGTTTCCTCTCTACGTCGGACAATTTCACGAATGGGTTGGACAATGTCCGTGACCGACCGATATTTTAATGGGCCTGCATGTGACGGAAGATAGAATTCAGTCGTTGGTCCAGGGGATAGTTGGCGAACTAAACACAACACAAAAAGAAAGTTCCCCTCTAAATATGTCATCATAAGTTCTAAATAAATGATTACGTTACAATCAAACCTAGGCGTAGTTAGACCTATGGTAGTTAGCTTTATGCTGTTTGAAGGAAGTTCTGGTCACCTAACCAGCTAACGTCCAGTCCTCCATTGAATACAGAAATACCCAATTTCAAAATTAACAAGAATTACTTTAGTTTAAAGATAAAGAGCAGAGCCCAGCAAATAACTTTAAAACCAAACATAATCAGTGGCGTAGCTAGCGGTCCTGCTTGTCCTGCCCAGCAGGACTAAAAATTTCCCCAAATTTCCGTACTAAAGCATTGCTTTATTTATCTTGAAGCTTTAAAAATTTATCATTATCATATTGTTATTTTGTCTCATTTTCTCGTCTTTTTCGTTATTATTTTTTAAAACGTTTTTCGCATTCTGTTATATTTACGCAATTTTACAGCTTGCCGTGTCTGTTACCTAGCAACTGCAACTCTACATTGATTTACACGCGACTCGTATTTCAGTCCTGCCATTTTCAAATGGCAGGACTTGCTAGTATATTTCATAGTAAATTCATACAAGAAATCTTGGTTTCTGATTGGATAATTAGGTCTGCGCATGCTCAAACCGACTGTTTACAAATGCAAAGTCCTGCTCTCTCGAAAT